TTAGTTTTCCCATAACTAATTCAAATTTTAAAAGACGCTTATAGCTGATTTACGGGACCTTCTTAAACGGAATCTTTATTATTACAGAAAAAGGACGACGAGATGGCATGGGTAGATTCCTGCTGCCTCCAATTAACAATACGAGGTCGTGAAGAACCGTTAACCTTCCGCGCCAGTGAGCCGGGTGCGAGGCTAGCGTGGGCCACCGAGCTCAGGCTCGCCCAGCTAGCGCAGGCCTCGGCCAACTCACCCGCATGGCGGCTACCCTCGCAGCTTGCGCCGGCGCATAAAATGCCATTATTCGTCGCTGCTACACCCGTGTACTCGTCGCGGCAACTTACTGAGGTATGTAAAATTTCGTAAGCTATTGACCTGATCAGATTTTGCAATATTCAATATTTTTATGTGCGGGTATTAAGGTTGACCAAATTTTATTAACCATATTATTTGGGGAATGATATGTGGTAGATAGACTTGAGCATACTCAATTAGATCTTTTAATTAAGTATGCTCAAGTCTCAGATTCCTTTCTTTAGGATTATTTAGAACAAGCTACTCTCGCGCGGTTTCACCCTCAGCTCAGCTCCATTTGATCATAGCGTGATGTCTTATCGTATATAGCACTCAGGAAAGTTGTAGCTATCTATCAATAAAAGAATTTTGGTAATCCAACCAGCGGTTCCAAAGATTACCACCTCCATACAAACTTACAATACCTCTTTATAATATTAGTATAGAAATACTTATTTAAAATGAGTTTAGCTGTTTTTTTTTTATTAAGTCTTTCATTATTTTTAAAAAGCTGCTATGTACCAGATAAATTTGTATAAATATCGTAATGTATATGTATATGAACGTGATGTGTATGACACAGGTTTTAAAACGACAATAAATATGTATAGGTTCGCTGTGGGTGTTTCTACACGTCGTGCGGCGGGGGCCGCGGCGGGGCGCTGCGGCGCGCGCGCTCGCTGGTGTGGGTGAGCGCGGCCGGCGCCGCACACAGCCACGTCGCCGTGCTCACACACCGCGCCGCCAAGCTCAAGACGCTCGTCACGCTCGACCTGCCCGACACCAAGGTAACTCTACCCATCCTCTACTTTCGAACTCACTTTTTCAGTTTTCGATATTACCGTAGGATTGTACAATCCTTCCCCCAGCTCCAGATACTCAATTATTTATGTCCGTTTCAACCGCGCGGCCACCTTATAGTATTCCCCCTAAAAGGCTCGTTACGCACTTGTTAATACTCTCACGTTGCGAGTTTCCAGCTAACGGCCAAATTATTAAAAAGTTATCAACAAATTACATCTATCATCAGGATAGAAAATCAATCATCAATCAAATCGCAAGTTTACTCATTCTTGTACTTATTATCTAAAATTGTTTCCAGGTTACCTCAATGGAGTTCGCACGCGGAGTACGACAAGTAACAACACTTTGTGGTGACACAGTGTGGCTGGGAACTGATGACAAGAAAATTATAATATTTTCTGCAGTTGAACCAGAAAAGCAAGAAAAGTTAACAGAAGTGCCAACGATAGCTGCTATCACGCAGATACGATATCATTGTGACGCCATGTTCGTGGGGTTATCAAATGGTCGCGTGTCAGTGTACCGACGGAATCACGACGATTCCTGGGCCCTGCAGGAACCGCTCGCCATAGAACTAGGGGACCGGCCCGTGCACTGCGTGCTACCCGTGGACGGCATCATATACGCCACGTGCGCCCGCAGGGTGTTCGCCATCAACGCGCTCACTGCGGAGATCATGCGCATCCTCGAGCTCAAGGGGGAAGGGGACCGCTCCGTCAAGTACCTCGCGCACTCCGGGGTCGGACTGTGGACCGCCTTCTCCGACTCCACGTACGTCAGCTTGTACCACGCTGAAACATTCGAACATCTCCAAAACATTGACATCGCTGCCGATGTCGCGAAAACGATTGGTGCTCGAGAGGGAAGTAAACCAGCGTACGTGTCCGCTCTACTAGCCTGCCAGGGGCTACTGTGGGTGGGCACTACTGCGGGCGTCAGCGTTACCGTACCACTGCCTAAGTTGGAGGGGCTCCCGCTCATCGGTGGACACATCGCTGCCTCGTACCACGCTCATGCTGGACCCGTGACATTCCTGCTTTCATTGATGCCGGAAACTAAAGATGTAGACGTAAATACAGTGCGGCGGAATTTATCAAACGCTCGTGCTCTCGCCGATACCGTCAACAACACATCACATGAATTTAAAGAAGAGAATGGCAAGGAAGAAAGTGATAAACCAAAACTTGAGCGACGGATATCGGAAGACGCGAGTCCATACCGACCGCAGCGCGTTCAGTCAGCTGTGGTGCGACGGAAGAAACCGGGAGACGTACGTCTCAGCAAGACATTACCAAAATGTGCGAACTTGAACGCTTGTGACGTATATGGCTTGTACGGAGACTTGATGTTTGTCAAGGACTGTGTCGGTGAGGCTGACGTGGGAGGTTCAGGCGGTGAGGCGCTAAGGAGAAGTGACCCCGAGCTGGCCGCAATACCTTTCCGTGTGAGTACGCTCGATCGGCGTTTGCGTATGCGTGCTGGAAGGCCTCGGAGTTTAGACCTGTCAAGCTGGTCGGTGGACTCGCGCGCTTCCAGCTTGTGTACATCGTCGGGCAGTGAGGAGTCTATGGCACTGCGCGGCGTGTCGCGGACTAGTTCAGGCGCTTCAGGTGCAGCTGCTTTGATTCCCGTGGCGGTGTCCACACCGGACTCATCGTCAGCCAAGTCTAGCGCATCTGAGCGCTCTTCTTCGTCTCGCACGGAGGGCGGCGGGGAGTCGCGCGCGGTGGCAGGGCGCAGCCTGCGCGGCGCGGACTACGTGGTGGGCGAGAGCGCGGCGCGGCGCTCGGTGCTGACGGTGGTGGGGGGGCGCGGGTACGTGGACTGGCGGCAGACGGCCGAGGCGGCCGAGCGGCCTCAGCCCGCCGCGGACCCCAACCCCAAGGACGCGCACCTCATACTCTGGGAGATGCGCTTGTGACTCTACGTCACCCAACGCGGGGAGTTCGCCGCTCCCCTGGGATCGTGCGCTCGACGAATCTTTGTGTATACTCGGCGATTTACGTGTCATATTATATTTGTCAACGGCCTGTATATATAGTGCTAATACGTAAGTTTAGATTTTATACGAATACGAAGATGCTACTACACTTATACACGTCCGTTAGCATTGCACTGAAATTATATTGATGTGTGACACAAATATTTACATTTGTAAAACTATGCGAAGCTTTAAATTATTTTTTGAAGTTGGAGCTACTTATGCGCTGGCTCGACGTTTACATTGGTTTAGTATTAACACTTGAGAAGTGGTGCATTATTTTGTGATCGTCTATTGAAATGTTTATAAATTCATATTTAGGGTACATTATAATGTAATTTTACGTTCTTTGGAAACACTAGTTGTGCCCTGTATGGACGACTTGACCAATGTCCTACATTATTACATGTTTATCAAATACAGTTATAGAAATTCACAGTTATCATGATTTTTAAATAAAACTTAAACGTTATACACAATTATAAATTGGATTTGTGATTTTAATCTGATATTTTGATTTGGCAGGACCATAAAACAGGATTTATATCTAATGTCAATATGAAATCATTTTAAATTATTGAGTCAGTCAATTAATCTACCGCTTAAAGTTTCACTAAACCTCTTCAAATGTGTAAAGGAACGAAACGATAAATTCTACTAAGATTGTTATGTAAAAATAAAAATTAATCAATGTATATTTTCAGTGTAAATTATGAATAATGAATAACAAACCGCCTCTGTTTAAGTTAAATTACATAAAATTTGATTGTATGATCCTGAAGAAATTCCAATAACATTATATTAGTTTCATGTCAATATTAACATTTTACTAATTGTATTTTTAGTTTTGGATGTAAATTGGTTTGCATAACAATTAACAAAACATAGTGGTGGCCTTATTATGTACTTGAAAATTTCCAGTGTATGATTTGTATAGCATTTGTTTAAGCTTTATTGTTAGACATTAATGTCGCTTTAAGAATTAGACTGATTTAGCTAAGCGTTAAAATGTACTGTTAATGGAGTTATTAGTAAATAAGTAAAAAAACGACATTGACCTTCCTCAATATCAGTGCACTTTAACAAAGCAATGCCTACATTGCAGCGAGAGAGCACGTTTTAAAATCGAACGAAAAGCTTTTACAACTTGATTCGAATATTTTGTTGAATTTATTATGTTTATGTATAATGTATGTAATGTTCTTGATGTTGATCTTGTCTACAATATGTTATACTCGGTCACTGTTCCATATGAAGTTTGCTCATGTTTTGTCAAAGTTTATAATTAAATTATCACTTTACAACACATGTTGTTTTCTCAATAGTTGGTATATTCTTACAATTCTATTTAAAGTTAATCGTTATTGTATTTGTTTTCGGTCAGTAATCTCACAAAGCAAATATTGTTTTGCACGCCCAAAGAATTTCATAGTAAGTCAGGCATTACGAATATTAGATGAACCACAAATTGAAATGTGCCAAATTGTAATTATCTGATACCTACTTATTATTTCGTGTACATACATTTTGTACAGAAGTATCATATGACATGTATTTCTTTTCCCATGTATTTGAGCACAAAGTTAAAGAGAATACATGAGAAATGAAATACGTTTTATTAATTTAATTTTGTAAATACAGGAATGTAAAAGGAAATCTTGAAATAGACACAAATTTGTTTTTTGTTTATCTATATCTATTGTACCATTGGAATATTTATGCTGCAAAACGTCACAAGTGTACTTTTTGTGTAAATAAATTTAAGTTTATACATATACACACTGTATTTGTTGTTTTATTATGTGAATGCCGTAATAAGTAATAAAAAAAGTCAGATTGTTATTTAAAAATTTTATTGTCTTTTAAAAATTCATTGTGCTTGTTTGGTTTTTGTAATTTTGCTGTTATGAATGTTGAGCTATGGTTAGGGTAATCCTGAAACAAAGAAAAAATAATTAACAATGTAAACTTAGTAGTAATGACGTAACTTTACCACCCCGCACTGTAAAATACATATCCAAATCCTTGAACAGTGCGAAAGAATACCATTTACATTTATCGCACGACCAACAGATATGATTAGCACCAGCACGGTCTATACACACGGTATCTACGTTCCGGCATCTCAGGTGAAACTCCGAAACGAAGTGACTGATAGTTCGCCTATACCATATACGTAATACAAGTACTTTATATATTATCTACTATTTACTATAGCGGCCCGCCTCTTCTTCGCACGTGTCCAACTATCTCGTTAACAACGGAATGGTCACTCCGTAATTTTCCCCTATACTTCAATAAAAATGCACAAAAAAATTACTTGTCCTAATTGGTCCAGAAGTCGTCTTACAGCTAGGTTAGGTGCCTTAAAGTCTTGATACTTACTATAGTGCTGTTTGCACTGTTTCAATGCTTCATTGAATGCTTGGCATTGTGTGATGTCTTCGTTATTTGTCGCACATTGTAAGAACTGTGATATTTCGTATGCGCATGGGCCGCTTGGTTCCGATCCTAGTTGGTAGTCGCGTGGCAAAGCGTGCACTACTTCTTCTCGACGACGACCACTAAACAGGCTCGTTATAGCTTCGCCCGCCAAGTGGCCCTAGAAAAGTGTAAACTTGTGAAGTAAAAATTACCAAACATTCCTATATTTGCTGTCAAAAAATGCCTAAAGAACAAAAAATGTTGACTGAAAAGATCTTGATATTCAGACCTTGTTAAGCCCTTTTATAACTCTTACATGATAATTTGATTAGCGTGACGTTATCATATAAACTGATTTTAATTAGTATTACCCTCTCATAAATAAATAATGTTATTGTAATAGAAGAGATACAACTTGACCCTATGTGAGGCTGCGAGGCAATAACACGTTGACTTATAATTACCTAATCAGTCACCAAATACTTAGGTACATGAAAAATTAATTACAATTCAAGCTAAATTACGTAACTACCAAGAAACGTACAATACAATTTAAAATAGGTACAGGTGTTTAAAAAATTACAAGTATATTTATATTTTATAAAATAACTTAAAGACATCCAAGTTTAAAATAAGTAGCTAGTTCTAATTGTTTCATTGTTCGTACCATGGTCGTGCCCACGGTGACGCCTCCAGCTATAGACGCAGCATCTCTGAACATAGATCTCCTTTGCGGCGTAGGAGTAATAACTGGAGGAGGGGGACGGGCGGGAGCGTGTTGGTATCCCCGTGAGTACCGTGAACCACCGCCTCTGCATCCAAACGAACGTTGTAGGTACATTAAGGTAGTAACAGATCAAAAAGTATCATTATACCTTTACTCTATCCAAACTAAAATTGGACATGGCGGATGCTTGAAGGTATCGAATGCAAAATTTTAATTTTCATACGTTTTTGCATTATACCTGTCGACACCGCTTAGTACTTGGTACTTATGTTAATAAATTAATGACATGTTCCTTTGTCTTTACACAACAGAAAAGCTTTTTTATATGTTTTATACCTTCGTGATCCTTTTCTAATGTATCATGGCATTACCTCGAGCACCTGCTGCTGTGTTACAATGATAATTATCTACTATGACATATCGAGCTGTCAATTACAAATAACGTACCCTGAAACATCCACCCACTTTACTGTCTCTTCCTTCGGTGGAATGACAAATTATTTATTTATTAATTAAAAATTATGGCTGTAGTAAATAATTTTGAAAATATTTTATTTCAATCATAAGCGTACAACACAAGGAGTTATACCGATAGTAGAATGGACAGTAAAATGATGTCTAATCTTAACATCAATACAGTAGTTGCATGTAATTTATAAGATAATATCTAGTAGGTGAGTACTACCGTTTCTTTCTTGCTTCACATATGGCACACATACTCCGATACTAATTAAATCAAATTTTAATTTTGAATAGACTGTTGGTAATTTGTTATTTCGTGTAGAGCCTGGAACGCAATTTTATCAAGTAGGTAATTCAACAATAACATCATGGAGACATTTACAACTTTTTAAAACAGGTAGGTATTAAGGCAACCAATAATGGGGAATATTTTCTATATTAAAAGCTGCATTTATATTTCTTTACTTGTATTAAAACTTTTTACTTTGTAGATTCACGACTAATAAATACTAATTCTACATTTTGCTTAATTTAATTTCATCAGGCGCTATATTAATGTATGAGCAGCCTGCTCAGAGCAGGCGCTATACTAATATGTGGTCAACGGTCAGTCAGTAATATGTGTAACGATAGATGTAGGTACTTAAGGTCAACTAAGTTAGCGGATATTTTCTCAGCCGGTTTCGGTACAACCTATTACTCAGCTGAAATAGTTTCATACTTAAGTACCAATTAGTAATGATGATGACAAATAATAATATCTTCTCTCTCCGGTTAGTCCTCGTGACAAGCTGGAGTGAACACTGATGAAGAACAAGCCCTCCTACCTCATTCTTGCCTTAATTGGCTGGCTTGAGTGGAGATTCGCAAGAGTAGGAGTTGAAGGAGACTCGGGGGAAGGATGTATCTCAGTAAGATGCTGGTAGGGGTCTTGACCGTACTTCCGGGATTGCTCTGATAGCCGTGAGATGCCTCTCCTTCATCAAGCAGCTCAACGTATGTTGCCCCCGTGTCGCTACATGCAAGCGGCCGTTTCCGGGGGCCCATTAATTGAGTTTGCCAGTCACCCCCTGCCTGTTTATCCGTATATCAATATTGGTCAGGGGCAGCGTGCGTTCGTGCAGCGGAATGTTGTTGAATTTAAAGATTTTAATTATGCAGATATTTAGTGTACGACGTCGTATAATTGTGTATGGTAAAAAAAAATTTGTGCACGCAACCATTGTGGAGAAATTCACCAAAAACTGATTCCGCTGGGCGAACGTTGTCCTGGCGGAACTTTTTTTAATCCATAGACTTTAGAAGAAAAGAAATGTATCCAAAAATTAGTGTGTATTTGTGTGTAATTGTGTATGTATGAATAAAACTAGTGCATGCATAAACTTCGGAGATATTCAAGTTTCCGCTACGCGAACGTTTGGCCATTAGCTAGTTTTCATATAAAGCGCTTACATAGAGAGCTGTAGATTTTTACATACGTTGTTTTGAATTTGTTTATATTTGTTTAAAAAACAGATTTAGAAAAAATCGTAGGGTTTAAAAGATAAAAATATAAACGTAAAATACGCTTATTAGGTCCTAGTTCTTAAAGTATGCACTTTGGGATCTAGATTTTCACGTTTATACAAACCTTGTAAGTGTCTGCAACATGTTGCCAAGTATCAATGATGTTCCGTTAGTAATTAAATAAGTATAGGACAAATTTACCATGAATAGATCACTGTTTACAAAGCAGTCAAATATCACGACTTTCTAAATGAATTGCATGGTAAAATGTATGCCAATAATTAGTGTATTCATTCAACTATTCACATGCAAAATTTCATGTCATTAAATTCAGTAATTAAAGAAAAACAATTATAATACTGACGAAGCATCGAAAACCTACATAACCCGACCAAGTTCGGATGGCTACAAAAAAGCGGCCGTGCCATATATCTAAGGAACGTTCTTAACTTTCCAATATAGCATTTATTAATATGGTACAGTATCGTACACAAGCGTTAGGAAAAAATAAAACACAGTATCGTACACACGCTCGTGCATGCCTAGTCTATTGGTTAAATAGTGTAATAAAAAATATTGGTTAAATAGTGTTATAAGCTACAATATGATAAATATTTACCGAAACAGTAGTAGGTACATACATACATGTGGTAAATATTTAATTTTCCTAAGGGGTCTATAGTTAGAATCCTGATCCGTGAAATCTTCTTTGTCTTAAATATAATTAGATTATATCTCAAGTCTCAAGCGCATACTTAAATAAAATACCTACGTAAAAAGTACCTACTTTCTGTCATAGTCAAATACATTTAAAAAAGTAGGTGTCCAAAAATAAATGACCTATAAATTATTTCGAAACAACAAGTGTGTTATCACCTGTACCAATTCAATACCGGTATTATACTGTAAATTTTGGGATGTTACCTTAATATATTGCACGGCCGCTTTTTTGTAGCCATCCGAACTTGGTCGGGTTATGTAGGTTTTCGATGCTTCGTCAGTATTATAATTGTTTTTCTTTAATTACTGAATTTAATGACATGAAATTTTGCATGTGAATAGTTGAATGAATACACTAATTATTGGCATACATTTTACCATGCAATTCATTTAGAAAGTCGTGATATTTGACTGCTTTGTAAACAGTGATCTATTCATGGTAAATTTGTCCTATACTTATTTAATTACTAACGGAACATCATTGATACTTGGCAACATGTTGCAGACACTTACAAGGTTTGTATAAACGTGAAAATCTAGATCCCAAAGTGCATACTTTAAGAACTAGGACCTAATAAGCGTATTTTACGTTTATATTTTTATCTTTTAAACCCTACGATTTTTTCTAAATCTGTTTTTTAAACAAATATAAACAAATTCAAAACAACGTATGTAAAAATCTACAGCTCTCTATGTAAGCGCTTTATATGAAAACTAGCTAATGGCCAAACGTTCGCGTAGCGGAAACTTGAATATCTCCGAAGTTTATGCATGCACTAGTTTTATTCATACATACACAATTACACACAAATACACACTAATTTTTGGATACATTTCTTTTCTTCTAAAGTCTATGGATTAAAAAAAGTTCCGCCAGGACAACGTTCGCCCAGCGGAATCAGTTTTTGGTGAATTTCTCCACAATGGTTGCGTGCACAAATTTTTTTTTACCATACACCATTATACGACGTCGTACACTAAATATCTGCATAATTAAAATCTTTAAATTCAACAACATTCCGCTGCACGAACGCACGCCAGGGGCAGGGGCCATAGTATTTCCATAGTTTTCATCCATTAGTGCATAGCAACCCATACCCATAACCCTATCAATTGTTACCACATTTTACAATAGTCCTGCATCAACCGGGGATTGTCCTTGGGTGCACTTTTATAGTGCATGCAGGGATAATTGCCGGCTGATGTCACATCACATTTAGATTAAAATTGTTCAACGGGCCTCTGCGAGTTGGCTTCGGCTCCTCGTATGCCTTCCAAAGGTCCGGGACCCTGTGGTCCCGTGAAAGGAAAGAATGATGAAAGCAAATAGGTATATTTTCTCTATGACCACCTAAGCACTTTTTACACACGTCTGACCAATTAAAGCTTGCTAACAACTGCCTACCTATGTGATGGAACGCCAAAATAGGAATCAATGCATTTTGATTACTTGCAAAAACAACTGTTACATACTTCAACTAGCCAGAATATTCTTTCTTGGCAATAAAAAAATTGGCGAAGTTTCAACAATTCCGACCCGACCTATGACTATACTTATTGTGACGTTAACCACATGCGTAGGTTCTGAAACTGAATATTTTTCCAGAAACGGCCAGTTCTTACAGATTATTCCATGTATCAAACCGCCACGGTAGAACTGGTTGGAACCAGCTACCGCATTGTTATTACCTTATTTGAGAGTTGAAAATAATCTAATGAGGTAGTCTTGTTTCTCATTGTGTTGCTTTTTGTCCTAGGACTCGCATATCTAGCCGGAAAGATTTTAATAGGAATAAGTACCTATCTAATAGGTTTTTCCCGATTCTAAATCATGAGCAGGCCAAGTGTAAGTTAGAGTCTGACTTCCTGTTATCACAGTGACAAGACCTTATTTGAAGAGTGGCTAGAAAGACACCACAGCCGCCTCATATAGCGGGGTAAGAGCCCGGGTGTGGTCACTGCGAGGACACGATTGAGTACACGGTAGCGGAGTGCCGTTTAAGGACTGAGCACTGCCCCATGTCGTCCGGAAAGCCAATCTTCACTCCCTCTTGCCCAACTTGTTTAAGAATTTACCTCTCGAAAAAGGTCAGTGCTGATGACATGCAAACAAGTCTCCCGGCGATCCCAAATCACTGAGAAAGCCTGCTTGCCATAAACACAATTTATTTTTACAATCGAGTGTGGCTATTTGACAGTAGGTTTTTTTTATTTATTTAAACGGTCGGCAAACGAGCAGACGGATTACCTGATGGTAAGCAATCAGCGCCGCCAATGGACATTCGCAACGGAGGAGTTACGCACTTAGTAGCGCACTCGGCGTTGCCGACCTTTTAGGGATTAGGGATTTAGGAGGGACTGGGGGAGGGGAAGGATTGGGCCTCCGAGAGTAATTGAGGTAATTAATGTAAAACTCCAGCTATTATATAACAACCATACTGTAGTCAGCTCTATTACCAGAAAACTAAAATTAACATATACATGTAAATAAAAAAAATATTGCACAATCTTATGAAATAATTCCCCATTATTTGTTGACATTTGAAAATAAATAAAACATCAAAGTTTTGGTTTTTGGGTTGTATATTTTATTGTTCTAAAAGTAAAAGAAATGGATATAATCAGATTTTAGAAATCTACATCACAATAAATTGTCTTAAAATATTAAATACAAAACAAAAATAAATCACTAACAATTTGCAACATGATAAACCTAAGAAGCGTAGGAATTCTTCAACTAAGTCAGAAATAATAGTTACTAGGTAGGTGCCCCATCTGTTTATCGAAATAAAATGTTTTTATTCTACAAGAACTTTTTATGTTAAAGATAGATTTATACAATCTCTTGTACAACATAAGAAGATGTGTAGCAAAATAAATCATTATGACAATAATTTAATTATTTTCTAATGGCACCTTGAAAAATTAATTTAAATATGGTTGTTAATCTTGCATTGACGCAAAGCCTCATTGAAGCCCTCACATAAGGTCAAGTCGTGCTGTTGTTGAGCACATTCAATAAACTGCTTGATTTCCCAAGCACAAGGACCCTGAGGAGTCTGGTTTTGGTATTGGTTGAGAGTCTGAGCCGGTGGCTGCGCTTGGACTTGCTGCTGCGCAGGTTCACTGCTGCTGCCGCCACTAAACAAGCCAGTGAGAGCACTACCAGCTACATGACCCTGCAGCAAAATTGGTACAAACTCTTAAAAAATATTTTTTTACAAACTCAAAACAATATATCATTCAAGGATAATATACTAGAAATAAATAAATATATTTATCATTATGCCAATAATAAAACATGCAATAATAATATTTATTGTGCATAATGTCAATTCATGTAAACAAAAACGACTGATTCATGATAACGTCACACTAACATGTGACCATCTTCACAATGCTTGGCTCCTAGCCCAAACTTAATACAACTGCAAAAAGAGGTACAATTCCGGATTTTAGTAAAAACATGTTAATTACACTGAAATCGGATAATTCTAGGTTTAAGGTCAAAAACACATGTTTACGTTACGTAATAACAAATTACGCACCACTGCTGATCCAACGGCGACACCTCCAGCAGTGGCTGCCATCTGCCCAAACATAGAAGGCTGTTGGGGTTGAGCCATAGCTGGAGCCGGGGTGGATGGAGGAGCATGAGCTGGGACTCGGCTCGGAGCTGGTGGAGGGGCAGCCCTAAAAACATCTCGCTAGGTTAGCTTTTGAGCATGATGAAATAAAATGCAACTCGAAAATAAAGAACAAAAATAACTTACCTCCTTTGAGGCGCTGGCGGTGGGCTTGCGGATCTTCCACGTCGAGGCATTATTTAAGTTTCTTTATTTATTTGCGGATTACACAGAATTCTTGTTCGATCAAGAACAACACTTCTAATAAAACTGACACTTCGTGGCTTCGCTGTCAAAATTCTAGCATCGATGTATGGCAACTGAAGAGCAAAAATTTTCTAGAATATTTTATAAATGGAACCACTATTGCCATCTCACTCTAAACTTATGAATAGTGCTATGACAGAAAGAGAAAGACCATTTTGACAGCTATACCAACATAACGGCAACAAAATAATATGACTGCGTTCTTTTTCTAAATCTTTGTCATAACGCGAAAAAAATCACTAAAATAAAAAGTATAGACTACCTATTACGCATAAACATGTTCTTTTTTTTTATAAAAAATAAAGGCAGAACGTAAATGGAACTGTATAAACTAATTACGAGACAAATGCGGTTTCGAACGCAAGTACAACTAAGTATATAGATAAGCAAACGAATAACACTCATTATAAAAAACGTAAAAATTTTAACAATTTACCTGCTTCCGAAACCTCCTCCTCCTCTACTTCTACCTCCACGACCAAACGGCATACTATTTTGTTTTAATAATTAATTATTATTTTTTTTAAGATTATTTGGCATTTTCAATACTGTTTTGATTTTGACTAATTGTTTATTTTTTATTTTTATATTATTGGTTTGAATTTACTGTCTTCTGTATCTAAGTTATTTCAAGCCAGTGTGTCGAGTCGTCGTTATTTCAAAGAGGTAACAAATTTATTACCCGAGTACAATAATGTATTGTATCCATCCTAGAAATGGAAACTGAGAAAACTTAAATGTCTATTCATGTATAATACTGATAGTTTACCTACCCAGTTTGTGCCTAAATTTCAAAACAAAATGATTGTAATTTTACAAAATTATTATTATTTGAACTTTGAGTTATGGGCTCTAGGAACCGAATTCAAACTATTTAAAAACGTCCTCCTTTTTGATGTTCGGCTAAAATAAAACTGAGATTTTTTCACTGACTATTTTCGCTGATGAGCATGTTGATGCCGATGATAAATAATAATATAGGTGCCGTGATGATATGTAGTGTTTATAATTATTGTAATATACTCTTTGCATATGAATCTGTTGATGTAGAAGACAGCATATTTTATGAACGGATTATCAAGAGTGGCTGTATGTGTAAAAACGCGGTGAATGAGATCTTGGATCTTGCTCAATTTAACCACCAGGTCCATGGGAAAACTTAAGTAGGATCTGTTCTCGAGCCGTTTACCTCTATCGTATCTCGTATCTTATCCTTGTTAATAAGTTTTAGACGCAGATTGAAAAGCTTATCGTTGGTCATTCCGTTTGTTCTGTATTCTGAGGTCATTCCACAAGACCATATTGATATAAGTCTGATGCCAATTGATATAAGTCTGCATGCTAAAACTCGTAGGAGTTCATAAATGCGTTGTAGTATTTAGATTCTCTTTGGCATTATGGCGATTGCTGCCCCATAAATGGCAAACAAAATGAGGGCTGAGAGGTACTATATTTTTATGGATTAGAACGTAAGACTTACTAAAAGTACTAGCTCAGAAGTAAGTCCTTTCAGTGTATTAGCAAGATAACAGCATACGCAACCTATGGCAGAAATTGGCGTTTTCGTATTGAAATTTGAAACAATTTTATTAATTAATCATGATACATAATTACGTGACAATTCCTAACACGTGGATTGCATGTTGTTGGAAGTTGGATGTTGAGTAAGGTGCGGGTAAAGTAAACTTCATTGACCGCGTCGACCTTGCATCAGTATGACTTGTACTCATTCATTCATTCATTCAATGAACGCAATCTTTAGTATCATTCATTCGTGTAGGCGAGAAACAGCGAAAATATCTGTGGTCAGTTATTGTGACTTTGTGACCGCGTGATCGTAGCTGTCGTGATTTTCGATTCCGTAAATTAAAACATTTTCGTGAAGATTTTTGTGTGAAAATGGGCGATAATTTAGCCGGTCAGAACGTAAATGTATTCCTGTTAGGAGGAATTACATTATTTTTCTGTGTAATACTGCATTTCGTATACAAGATCGCTTTCAAAAGCAAGAAAAAGGAAGCACTAAAGGATGAAAATGAGAGCAATTCAGGTAAGTTTAATAGTAAAATAATACAGGTAGCAATAACTAAGAAAAAAATGGTTAATATATTAATTTTATAAAGATTGGGGGAATGTTATCAAATTCATTAAAAACGGCGGCAGAATTTCTTTGCTGGGTATCTTGCGGTTTTGTTGGATGTGAATGGACGAAGCTATAACTAACTGTATACGAAGAATGCAGCTGACACACTTCGTGTGTGTCATGAATAGATGTATCTTTTGCTAAGCATCTTTACCCACATAATTTGCTTAAAGTTTTTAGTCATGTTAACAAGTAGGTGGCCATGCCATGTGCTCTCATATCAAATCCCATTGGATAATAACTGGAACACCTATTTAATTAATTACAAGGGAATAATTTTATGAATCATAATTAAAGAGAAAATTTAAATAAAAAAATTAGTTACAAAACCTACTTTTAGGGTAGTTGTGTATGAAAAATAATTAATGCAATTTATAAAATCATTATTAAATTAAGTATTATTTTGTTGTGGAAGATTATTGCTCAAAAGCATAACATTTATTGATAAAAGTTTCCTTTAATTATTTATCTTTTTAATACAGATTTGTTTGGGCATCTATCTGTTTTCAGTTTCATTTTATGCAAGCCATTGACATCATGTGACTATCTTGTAATTCAGCAATACTTTAGTTAAGTATTTTAAATAAAAGGCAAAATGTTATTGCAAAAATTTAAATAAATTCTACATAAAAAGGTTGTTCCACTTATTACTTCAAAATTAAATTATTTGGATAAAAAAAATTAAATCTGTGGTATATGTTTTTCCTAGTTTACTGCTATTATGGAACTTTTGGCTCTAATAAAAATATTTAAAATAATAATATAATTTGGCACTTTGTTTTATTTTTATGAATTAACATTTAATATTGGTATGTCCTGCTGTGGTAAACCAATCTAAACAATACATTTTTATATGATACAGTTTAAGTTTACAATTGATCAAACATTATGCTATTCAATGAAAATGATTGAACTTGTTTATACAGTTAAATAATAAAGCTATGTATTTATTTAACAATATGATTCATTTTATTTTGCAACATATTTTATTTGACTTTACAGGTCACATCCACCTTACATTTTGTTGGTTGATTTATTGCTTATAATCAACTGTTCAATAAGTACAATTAAAAACTTTTTTCATTGTATTAAAAATAAGAAACAACATAAAAATATATATGATAATATAATTGTAGGAGATGGTATAAGTATAAAAAAAACAACACTGGCAATTGAGTATTTTTTTATCTTAATTAATCTTTTCTTGTTTCACATAATCTATGTTGTTCATCATTAAGGAAAATGTAGCCTAAAATATTAAATGCTTTGCGGTATAAAAAAAAACGAAAAATATGCAAAATTATTTTTTTAGTTTAAGTACTTACAGGTAATATAAGTTTTATTTCAGTGCATCATGCTGTTCTCACTTTCTCTCGACATTTAAGTGAACATTTACTTACGTAAGGAGCTAAGGAGCTTTTAGTCGTTTACTTTCGACAATAAATATATTTTATAGTGTAAACAGTACTGTTTTTATTTTTCGATTCCATTTGCACCTTACCTTTTCATTCAAGTATTTTATTGTGCTTGATATAAATAACTAGCGTGTTTTGCGACGTCGCGCTATCGGGATAAATGTAATTACCTTATATGTGTTATTCCAGACTATCCATCTATTTGTGATTAACTCCACTCATTACTTTTTGCCAAACATATCTCTTACAAATAGTCACATTTGTATTATTAAGTAGTACCATAATAGGCAGTAGGATAGGACAGTAGATAAAGTAATAAATTACTAAGTACTTTTTCACTATTCATATTATAATTAAATACTCATAAATGCTCTAGGTACATTTTATTTAAAAAAATAACGTTGCCATAGTTGCCAGCCACATGGCGTTGCTTCGATTCGAACTTTCGAGTCGTTCTACCAACATAATGCAACAATAACACCATCTGCCGCCAAACGACTTAGAGCGAGTTGAATGCGCTATACACCTCGTATTAAAAAAATGTACATCGTAAAGCAACCGAACAATTTTTTTAAGCCCACTTTTGCAAAATAACTAACTTCTTTTCCGTTGTATAATTTACACTCGAATAGATATAATACGATGAGCAGCCAATTAGGTAGTTAATGGCTTAATAAACAAACAATAGTTTAAAAAGTCTTTCAAAATTAAATTTTCGCACGGTAACTACACTGCATTTTATTTGTTTAATTAGGTATAACTGCTACAATAACGACTTTGTTAAAGAGCTGATTGCTATGGTTATTGTTGAAAAATATTGCAAAAGGTATTTTTAGGTTGTTCTGACTTTACATGATCCAAGAAGGCACAAGTTTATTCAACTCTAAGAATGTCTAGAGCAGATGTGTTCACCGTTTGATTCGCCTGAATACACATATACATATAAAATTCTCATGAGTCATTAAGGAACTGAGTCAACTGACTAATCGCAATCCGATTATACTAAACAATTATCTTATCCAAGATCTCTAATTGTACCATATTTCATGGAATGCCCATTTTATCGTAGGTAGTAAGGTCTAATTTTGACAATATCAATCGATATATTTTTTTAGAGTAATGAAAAAGGGTTCGACCTACGTCAATTGTAAGGAAAAACAGGATTGTTTTGAAAAAAATATCTAATCTGTGATCAGCGCGACATTTAACAGATATTTTATCGCGTACTCCGTATTTACTAATTAATAATTTGTCAAAATCAATTGATAAAATTAATATTTTGTCAAAACAATGTTAAGAAAATGTAGTACACGAAAAAGTAGAAGTAGTAGTAGCGGAAAAATTTCATATGTTTAAAACCTAGGAATACTTGATGACCCTATGAAAATTTTCCGCTAGCAATAAAGCTTCGAGAAGTATAACTTCAATAAATTTTCAAAGTTTGATAAAACATACGCCTACAAAAAGACACGTAAGTTTCTGACATCATCTTCTAATTCCTACACGAGACAGGTACGTTCGTACGTACGAGGAAACTATAGACTT